TTCTCACGCCAGCAGGCCTCCGGCTGGACCAAGACAACCACATCGCTCTGCCTGTCCAAGCGTTCCTTCCGTCTACCCAAGGGACCTGTGACGGCCTGGCAGAGCTTATGGCATAGAAATGCTGCTGTTTTGGAGATTGGGGAGGTCTCCCTGCAGACGACCTGTGAACTCCACCCAGGGCCCTCAAAACGAAGAGCTGTTGGCCCTCAGTGAAAAAGAGAATGCTAGGTGCTATGGCCTGAATGTCTGTGGCCCCTTGGCCCCCAATTAATAATTGAAGTCCTGTCCTCCATGGCTATGGTATTAGGAGGCAGGGCCTTTGGGATGAGATGAGGTCATGAGGATAGAGCCCCCATGAATGAGGTCAGCGCCCTAATGAAAGAGGCCCCAGAAAGCTCCCTGCTCCCTTACACTACCTGAGGTCACTGGGAGAAGGTGCCGCCTATGAACCAGACGTCGAACCCACTGGCATCTTGGTCTTGGACTTCCCAGCCTCCGGAACCATGACAAATAAACTTCTGTTGTATGTAAGCCTCCCAGTGTACATGATGTTGTTACAGCAGCCCAAACGGACTTAGACACTAGTTTTTAACTTCACTTTCCTACCACCTTCTTAAACTCCAAGCGTGTTCTAGAATAGTTCTACAATCATGGTCCAAGTACCCCTGGAAGGGAAGTCAGTGGTGCTCGACCAGGGACTTTTCCCCCAAGGGACCTTAGGTAGTGTCTGGAGACACTTTTTGATTAGCACAACTCATGGGGAGGGGTTGCTACCGGCGTTGGGTGGGGAGAGGCCGGGGTGCTGCTCCTCATCTTACGCACAGGCTGGCCGACCTCTTATAGCAAATGTCCGGGGCGAGAACCCTGCCCTGAGCACATCCTTCTGCGAGCAGCATTGCCGTCCTTCTGTGGCGTCTGCAAGGACCTTAGATAACACACCAGCGGGGAGCCCGGGTCTTCTGCTTTTCCCCAGTGGAGGCCCAGGGAGGGAGAGACTCTGGAAGGACGGGAAGTGGGGAGAGGCAGGCACACCCAGCTGCAGGAGAAGACGGGGCTGGGCCAGCTCTGCATTAGAGCTGATCATCAAGTTTGTCCTCAAGACTCCACCTCGACCCCCTGGACGTCTCACACCAGGTTCTGGGTTTGTTTTCCCCTCTTTGCGCCTGAGCTAATGGCAGTAGCTGTGAACAGGCTGTGGCTTACTAATAATATCCCACTCACTTTGGATTTTGTCATAATTACCTTCCTAATTTGCACTTTTGCTGGAACACCTGGGGTGTGAGCTCCAGTTGGCATTTTTCCTCTGCTCCTTTCCACCCAAAGGGTTCCTGCAACCATCTGTTGGTCTTCAGTATCTGCCTGAATTCTCTTATTGCGGTTCTTTCTCTCCCTCATGTGGAATTTGTCTTGGTCTCCCATTAGTTTGACTCTCCGGTATTTTCCACCTTCAGACATGATAACAACTAACATTCTCTTCGCCACAAGCCCTCCTTCCTCTTCTCTTTTCTAAATCACAGGGAAGTGTTGGCTCCCTCCCTTGGCAGCACGTGTTTTGGAGTCGGGGGTCATGGTTCCCTCCCCTAGAGCCCCAGGAGAGCAGGGAGGAAGGACCTGCTTCTTTGCCATCCATCACAGAACTCAATGGCCAAGGCACACACTGCCATGGCCAAGGTCCAGGGCGGGGCCGAGGGACAGTGCATTGGCTTTGCCCTGACCTCCTCAGGAAACAGGTTCACATGCAAGCTCCAGCTGCCTGCACCTGGGAGAATGCCACAGCCAAGGTCAGCAACCTGGGGTGGAGGGAGAGGGAGAGACAGGGTCAAGGCCTGGCTCTGGCCCTGGACACTGAGCTACTTTGGACAGGCCCTTCCTTTCCTCCCCAAACTCCCGGAGCTGTTGTTTGCATTTGTGTACGTCAGTGTGCTGGGCCGCATGCTCCATAACCAGCGAGGGTGAGGTCTCGAGTTGCCGGGGGGCCTGTGGCTCTGGGCTGCACTGTCATTTATATCAGGGGTCCCCAACCCCCAGGCAAGGACCAGTACCGGTCCGGGCCTGTTAGGAAGCGGGCCACACAGCAGGAGGCGAGCTTGAATGTAATGCACTTGAATCATCCTGAAACCGTCCCCCCACCCCAGTCTGTGGAAAAATTGTCTTCCACGAAACCGGCCCCTGGTGCCAAATGGGTTGGGAACCCCTGATTTACATTAAGACCACTACTTACGAGACAGCTTTCCCAGCTTTTCTCATAAAAGTGCCAGACATGATTCTTAATGTCTTTATATACATTATTTCTTATATTTACTTTGAAGTGAAATGTCCATTAATGTAAATTGTATTTATTTTTATACTTTAATTTTCACTAGTTTTTCATAAGGAAAAGGCAAAATAAACTTTTTATCTCAAAGGGGGGAAAATCACTAATTAGAGCAAAATCTTTAACAAAAGAGCCAACCAACTGTTGTTTATGGTTTAGGGGGAAAAACCCTGATTTCTCCAAAGGGAGGGGTTTGTTCTTCTCACTCAGGAAACACCCCTAAGTGCCGCCCTAGCTTTTGACGCCTCTCCCCAGTCAGTGGGCCACCCTCACCCCGAGACCCACAGTTACGGGTGAGAGTGCGGTACCGCTCCACTGCGCTGGTTCTACACACCCTGAGAACAGTAGGTTTGTAAACACTGCACCCCCGGAGGCAGCAGGTGGCCAGATAGAGGCGTCCCCAAGGTCCTCTCACTTTGCATTCTCATGACCGTGGATGTGGCAGCTCCTGCCCTCCTGGCGCTGCACAGAAAGAGGCTGCCTCCTCCCTGGTGGGAAGTGTGTCTGAAGGCCGTAGACATACCAGCTGTAGCCCATCTTGACATTCCGCTCTCACCAATATCCGGCACCTCCCCCAGGACACTGTTGTTGCCTACCCCTTTCTGAAGCACTACGTCAGAGGCATCACACCAACCTGAAAATGTTGAACGTGTATCCAGACCCCTCCTTGGAGTCATGACTGCTACCCTTGGGGACATTTCTGGAAGAGAAGGAAAGTGAACAGCCAGCCGTGGAGGGCGAGGAAGAGCCTGGACTTCAGAGTCCCAGCTCCCCCGGGCTCTCAGAGCCTCCCGCCACCTTTCCACTCTGACCCGTGGAGTGGAGGTGACAGTTTTCACCTCTGGTTCACAGTCAAGGCTTCTAACCCAGGGCCTGGCATAAAACAGGCCACTTTGCCACCACCACCATCACTATGTCCAAGAGAAAGACCACAGGGAGACAGAGATCTTGAATACAAGGCCAGATTTGGAACCTGGAGTCAGCTGAGAAGAAAGACTTGATGAATGAAGACTCAGCCATTATTAAGAATTGACATCAGGAGCCTTAAAAATGACAATGAATAAAACTTTAAAACCTCACTTCTGCAAAGTCTGGTTGCTCTGATGTTGCCTCGGCTGGCCACGTCAGCCGAGAGCCCTCGGAAGCAGAGTGTCAGGGGCTTCTCTGCAGCCCACTGCAGTGTGAGTCCTGCACCCTGGGGGCTGGGCCCAGGGGCCTCGAGACTCTGGTCTGGTTTTGGAAAGAGCTCCAAGTCCCTGGCTGCTGAATCTGGCAGTGGCCCAAGTCATTCCTCGTGACCTCTGGGCTCTCGTCCACCACTAAAGTCCTAGGACTCTGAATTCCATGATGGTCACTAGGAGAAATAAGGAAAGATATTCAGTGGGGCACTAGAACCCCAAATTTTCAACCAGCAGCCTCTGGTGGCCACAGTTACCCCGTAAGGTCCCCACAGGGAGACTGAAGCACAGGGAACACTTTATGCCTTAGCTGCTGAGGCTTAGCAGGTCTTTGGATGAACCAGACTGCATCACGAGTAAGCTTGTTCACCTTAACGCAGGTCAAGCCAAAGGGCCCTGTTGTCCCCAGGTGCCTCCTGAAGTCATCATTATTGTACAATCCCAGTGTCCCTGGCCCACTCTAAACAGGACACAAGGATAAAAACAGGGAGTTCAAAGTGACTGTGAATTCCAAAAGAAGACAAGCCCCTCTCAGTAGAGTTCGCCCCCTTTCCTCTTCATAACAAAGGTTGCTCCTTGCCCCCAAAGCTTTTGGTCTTGAACCTGACCAATGCTATGGTTTTATTTCCTCTTTGGATGGAGACTGAACTCCCCCATGGATGCCAGGACTTGCCTTAAGATCAGGCTTCTACCCCATGGGTCTGAGTCCACTGGGACAGTTCCACTTTTTCCAAAGCCTTTACCTCTGCACCAGATGCTGCAGACTAGCGTCTCCCTTCCACCTCTGCTTCTAGTCAGGGTGCTGGTGAACTTGGCAAGCTCGCCAGGTCCACTGGACAGGACTTGGAGAATCATCTCGCCCATCCTCAAGTTTCAAGCTGCACGATAACTACACCATTTCAGAGTAGACTGTAACAGTCTCTACCTCGTGACAATGGCTTGTCCCATGTCTGCAATGATATCATTGGGCCACCATGTCAACCTTGGGCTTCTTGCTCATGAGCTGATAAAACCCTACATGTTTAGGTCAGGGTTGATCGAATGTTTTCTGTAAAGGGCCACATGGTAAATAATTCAGGTTTTTGGTCCATAGGGTCTCTCTCACTGCTGCACAGAACCAGCCACAGAGGGCTCATCCGCAAGTGAGCACGGCTGTGTGCCAGTAACCCTTGTTTATGCACGCTAAATGTACATGATTTTTATAGGTCATGAAATGCTCTTTCTTTGTTTTCCAGCTACTTGTAAAAATTATTCTTGGCTTGAAAGCCATATAAAAGTAAGCATTCAAAATTTTTTAAATTACAATTAAAAAAATAATGGATAAATAAATAATTTAAAAAAAACTTTTTAAAGGCAGTGAGCTAGATTTGGTCTCCAGGCCGTAGTCTGCTGAGCCCTAGAGTTTTTGTTATTCACAATCTGCCGCAACATCACCTCACACAGTGGTGGCGATGAGCACCGTGGGGAAAGTATTTCTAACCCGTCATGCTTTTTTGTGTGTGTTGCAGAGGGGCTTGCTGTCGGAGTTGGATTTGGAGCTGTAGAAAAGACGGCGTCCGCCACCTTTGAGAGTGCCAGGTAAGCCAGCACCTGCTGCCCAGCACTGGGCCCTGCACCCCGCAGTGCTCTGGAAATGCTCGTGACCCGGATGGGTGCCCCCAGCCACACAGGGCCAAGACTGGCGAAGGTGGGGCGGAGGTCCGGTGAAGCTCACCTGAGAGAGGTGCTCCATCAAATGGAGCAGGTCTATGCTCTCTAAGGGGTGACCACCTTGAAAACACAGTGTGGACGTCATCATGTGCTGTTGTCTAAACTCTTTAAATGTGTGAAGACAGAAGGGAGTAGTGAAGGGTAAAAGGGGTCAAATACATGGTGTTGGAAGGAGATTTGACTTTGGGTGGTGAACACACAATGCAATTACACATGATGTATCAGAATTGTACACTTGGAACCTAGACAATTTTATCAATCAGTGTAACTCCCCCAGCCCCACAGAAAAAAAAAAAAACCTAAAGACGAAACACAACAGGCAGCAGTTGATGCCCCAGTGGCTCCGTCCTCTTTGAAGCCCTTTTTCTCTGTCATGTCACTGGCCTCCCCTGGCTGCCCCCCTGCCCCCCGCTTACGTCTGCTTCTTTGCAGGCTCTCCTGGGGGCTCCTCATCCTACGGCCCTTTCGGAAACACTGATGCTGCCCAGAGACCTGTCTCTGGGGCATCCATTCTCCCCACTTCGTCCCCCTCCATGACTTTATATCCCATTTATTTGCTGGTGGTGTTCAAGTTCATTTCAGCCTAGATTTTCCTTCTAAACTTACTTTTCCCAGATACTTGGATGTTCCACAGGATCCTCATGCCCAGAATTTCCGAAGTTGAGCTGCTGTCTCTGTCTGCTGTCACTCAAAGCCTGCCCCTCCCCCAGGGTTCCCCGTCATCACCTTGCACCCAGGTGACGAAGCCAAACTGTCATCCTTGACTCCTCGTTTCCCCTCATCTTCCTTAGATGGTCGCCAGGCTTTGTCAGCTCTTCCTCACTTCTCCTTCCCTTGCGATACACGGGGCCTTGATATGGCCAGTGTCCACCTGGGGATCACGCAGGGCACATACCCTTTAGCCTTCGTAGGGATTAGCTCGGCCGGTCCACCTGCGCCCACAAACCCACGAACACTGCAGTGTCCGGGCTGAAGGGGCCAGGGCTGAGCCTTCCATCCAAGTGTGATGAACTCGGATGCCTTCTGGGGACTAAGGAGTCACAAAAATGAGTGGAGGCAACTGGGGGACACAGTCGGGGACTGTGAGGACAGAGGTGAACCTCACATAGACAGCCCACGCATGACCTAACGGCTCTGGAATTCACAGTCGTTTTAAAAACGTGATTCAGATCAAAGCGATGGTCCAGGGCCACCAGTTCTGATGCCTGCTTCTAGCTTATTCCCTTGCCTTCTCGCTGGTGCATTCTCCAAATATCCTCCTTTCTCTCTCTAAGACACCCCCCTCTAATGGTCAACCCTGTGTCTATTGACCATGTGGTCAGGAACTAATTTCCCATGAAGCCCCTCTTCATCCTTCCTGGGGACTGGACGTGCGTGGGGCCTCCTTGTGCTTCATCACCTCGTTGTGTGGATTCCCTCAGCTGACGTGCTGCTCCTGTATGGTCAGTGTACCACTACCGGTCACTGAATGCCAGTGCTACATGCCAAGGGACGTGCCTGCTCCACGAAGCCACAAACATGCGTGTGCATGTTCTAGGTTGACATTGTCCCTTCTTATTCCCACCTGTCAGACTCCCAGGGCATTTCCTCCCTCCATCGCCAGGCCAGTGTCACCCATTAACCTGATGCCTGTGGAGAAAATCGGATGAGACAGGAGGAGGAGAGGGGCCTTTAAAATGTAAGAAGTGTCGCCACCGTCCAGGGCTGGTTCTGACTCACAGTGCCCTGCGGGCTGCGTTTCCAGCACCAGGCGTCGGGTGGGGAAAGTGGCTCTTTGTCCCTCGGCGCAGCCGGTTTGATCCTGGCTTCAGTGAGAACGTGAGAAACGTCAGTCGGGCAGCGTGCAGGGGGCTGAGCAGGTGAGAGGGGCTGACCCCGTCCACATTTGAAGACCAGGCCCTCCCAGAGCACGGGGCACTGCGCACCCTACAGAAGGCCTGTGACCCAGGGATTGCACTCGCAGGCCTGGCTTTCTGGTGGCACCACATCCCCCATAACATCAAGATGTCAACTCAGATGTCCCGCTGTTCTGTCACCTGCACTTCCTGCCAATCATTATAACTGTTTGTAGAGAAAGTAGAGCAAAAGCCTTTCCAGCCCAGCTCCGCCCTCCCCTTGATTCTCCCTGAGTTACATAAACCCTCAGGACCATGGAGCGGGGAGCAGCCTGGGGCCATGGGCCTCTGTAGCGGCGGCCTCGCAAAGGCCTCTGCTCAGCAGCTCACTGGGGGCTTTTCCCGTTGCACCCTGGAGCAGCCTGTGGCGGCATCAGCATCACCATGTCCAGAGTATCCTGGGGTGGGGGAGGGGCTTCCCGAAACCCAAGCCGCAGAGAAGCAAAGAGATCTCCCCCTCAAGCAGACCCTACCCTTCAACCCACTGTCTTCACTTACAAATCCGCATGTAGTGCGTGGTTTGGGGTCTTCCCTTCCACGTGCCTGTGATCTTACTCCTGACTGATAGAGTGCAGAACAGCCCCCCTCAGGACTTGTTAGACCTCCTGGCTACAGACCTGGGTGAGCCAGAGGATGGGGACTAGGAGGTCAGAGGGAGGGGGGGAGGAAGAAAAGAGAGGAGGGCAGACTAATTGTTGGGGGGAGGGGTACAGAAACAAAGTCATCAGGTGATCAAACACATTTTTTAAAAGAGAGAGGTTTTGCTTTTTAAAATTCCGGTTCTGTGGGACTACAAAGTGGCACACCGCAAATACAGCACGCAAAGGTTAAAAGTAAAGAAATGGAAAAGGGTCCGAGGTGGATGCTGATCAAAGGAAGCAGGCGTTACAGTTTCGGTGCCAGACAAAACAGACATGGAGGTGGAGAGCCATATAAAGAATAAAGGTCAGTCCTTAATGACAAGGGAAACACTGCACCAGGACGACACAGCGGCCCTGCAGTTGTGTGCACCTAGCAATGCAGGCGTCACACTGCTTAAGAAGAGCTGTCAGAATTGCCAGGGAAAAACAGGCAAAACCTCCATCACGGTGGTGAGCGCCTTTCCTGTCTCTGACACCAATCAAACATGAAAATTTTACAAAATGTGTTTAATGGACATAGATAGAACCCCGACCCAGCAACTGGGAAGCTTTCCTTCTTTTCAAACACACACGTGCCTATTTTTAAATTGATTAGAGCCACACAGGTAGAACAGCCCCACATCACGACTGTTCAGACCCCAATCTCTGACCTCAATGCGATGTCACTGGAAGTCGATGACACGAGGTAGCCCAAATAATTTGTTAGTGCACGGCTGAACCCGTGAGCGCCAGGGGATTGGCACACCATGCGCTCCAAGGGCAGCATACAAACCAAGTTGTCTAAGAAACCAGTGGACGAAGGGCACTCTCTTTCCTTGTCGTCACAGAGTGGGCGTATTTCGCCCTAGTGTGGGGTCAGTGCACTTGGATGGGTGGAGCTGATAAGGGCGGGTAATGCAGAGAGCAGGGTGGATCCTGAGGCATTTTCAGGGCTGGTGCATAGACCTGTCACCGAGGCAGTTCCCAGGGTGCTTTGTGGAAGGGAAGGCAGATGATGGGTTGGCCACGGTGATGGTGCTGATGCAGGAGATGACAAAGCCCGAGAGATGATTGAAGCACTAACCCGGCTCCCATGGAATGATTTGGGGGTGGGGTGTAGATGTTCCAGTGTGAAACACTCAGCAGTGGAACCGATGTCTGTTGGCCACCCGCAGCTGTGTGTTCTAGCTGCTGTGGGAAGACAGGGGTGTGATGATGGTGGGAACGAGGAAGGCCTGATGGCCGGAAGAGGTTTTAAATGCAGAACCAACAGACAGCACTTGTCAGCTGATTTTGCTGTGGAGAAGGGAGAAGGGAGAATTCAAGTTCAGGCATCCAGGAAACATAGGTCATCTTACAGTGCTGTGTGGGAGTGGCTGAGAGGGGAGGGAATACAGATTTGCCTGGATTTGGGAAAAGAAAAGGGTTACCCAGCAGGTGCCTGGGGTCCACGTGGACCAAGCTGGCTGAGCCAGATGGATTGTCCTGTTCATTTAGTTTAGGGGTCAGCAGCCTGTGTTCCAGGGCCCAGAGTCAGCCCCACACCCTCTTTTGGTAAATGGAGTTCTGCTAGAACACAGCCATACCCGTAAGCTTCCGTGCTCTCTGCAGCCCCTTTCGTGCAGCGGTGGTTGGGTTGTGTGACTGCCACAGGATCGTAAGGCTCAAAACTGACCGTGATTACTAGCTGGCTGTTTGCAGAAAAAGTGTGGACACCCCTAGTTTAGTGGACACTGCCCATAGATTTAGTTCAGGTTCATCATCAAACACCCTGACACCAATGCTCATTTTTACAACTCCCTACTGTTTTTTAAGCATCTGGAAGCAGGAAGTTCTCTTGTCTCACCTGTGACATCACAACCCCTCACAAGAAAAGAGAAAACGTAAAAAGTAAATGCTCTAGAACAGCACTGTCTTCAGTTTCTACTTGTTTCCCTGACCAGAAAGAGGACAGGTGGGCCCCTGGCATGTAATGTGTATGGGTGCTGCCATCTACTGTTCAAATGCTGTTACTTCACCACCTTTCTGGAGCCCTGTCTCAACACTCCCTCCTCCTTCCTTTCTCATTAGATAGCTTGCTTGGGGTCACCTCCCCTGAATGCTGAAGAATCTCAGCCAGCAAAGGGCAGCCTGTAGTTCAAGGGAAACAGCTTTCTTCTGTCTGATCTGGGCCCTTGCAATTTCTTTTGGTTTCACTACAAAGAAATTCTTCAAACCACATGTCCTTGGGGAGTTTGGCTGCTTCGGTGATTTTCCTTTCTGAAGTGTCACTAACTCCAGAGAACATGTTTTCCAGTAAGGAAACATGTCCTCAGCTCTCACTTAACTCAGTGGCAGGCATAATTCACACCAG